ACAAAACCCTCAACGATAATACACTATGAGACATATTAAAATAAAATACCAGCTGAGTTATTGCACTTGGGATGTTGCATGTGAGAGTTGAGAGTAGTATCAGATGGTAGAATAAAATAAAAATGAGTGATGATTCGTTTGAACAATATGGACCCAGTTACACTGAAGGAACAAAATATGAATATATACTGATAACTGAAGGGAGAGACAGGGAAACAAATTCCCTTCAAGGTGTTTAATGTCCATCAGTGCCTTAACAATGCAATTGTATTGGTGAATTCAACAACAAAAGTGCGACTCCTGTAGAGTTACTGTATATACCTCTATATGATGGAGGTTATTTGGACCATTAATGACCACACAACCAAGTTGGTGGGATTATTTTTCGTAAAATAACGAAGACCTTGACATAGACAGTCGGGACACTGCACAATAAACCAATAAATGAACGGACGATAACACATACAAGAAAACAACAGTGCAGAGTGTTTAAAGTGGTTGTGATTACTGCAGAGACTTTAGAGTTCTTAAGCTCAGGCCAGCTGGTGCTATTCACAGCACAGGGAATACACACAGCTGTCATATTGCTGTCATACTTAAGGAGATGTAAAGATATCACCAGCAAAATACATTCACTGCAAAGTGTGACATTCAAATGACCAGTGAAGGTGTGGAGAAAGTAAAACATCAATGTTTCAGCTCACTAAGAAAACAAAGAGTCTCTGAATCCAGCGGCTAAAGATGAATTCAAATAATAAATATTTTCAACTTGTGATCGTTTACTCTTCTAAAAAGGAGATAAAAAATATTTCTATTCTAGTCTGAAGTGAAGTTTTCTCAATGGGAGGATGTTTATTTCCCCTAAGATAGGTAGAAGAAAAAAAATCAAATGTGCATATGCAGTACGATATCTAACAATTGCTATACTTTCAAGACCAATTATTATAACATACATCACTGCTGTGCCATATTCAAAAAGGTATCTCCACCGAGACAGTTGTGTTTTTTCGTCTTTTTGTTTGTTAGATAAGAAATTAAAATGGAATGTGGGTTTAAGACAAGAGGGCAGATCTAGTTTTTAGAGTTTTTATTTTTTACTTTCTTTAAAATTGGGAGATTGGACCCTTTTTTGAAATTTCATTGATTTCTCACAGAATAATTTAATGGATCTTGATTTTAAAAAATGTGTTGGGACTGATAGTTATTAGTTTGTGCAATTTAGTGCAGATCCAAATACAAATCTGGATCTAGTGAATTTAAATATGGTTTCATAAGGGGCCTGTTGGGTCTTGGAGGATGAATATACTCCACTGAGGGACTGGTAGTTCTTGGAAGTGCTTAAAGTTATTTTTGAGTTAGTCCAGTTCTATGTACGTATTGTACAATTAATCACACGAATCCTACAGTTAGAATGACATAAAAGACTAATATCAAATAAAGAACAGGTTGTGGATGTGTCTGATTTGTTCATAGAACGTGTTATTATTGTTTTTAGCCAGATTCATAAACTCATTCACTCAAGTCTTTCTTTTCTATCGCGATACTTCCGCCATGAGATCTCGCCCATGCGTTATACTGCAGGAGACCCCGTTCAGTCTTCCTTTCTCAACATGGCACCGAAGGTGAAGAAGGAAGGTTCGTCAGTCTGATCATTTTCTATGAATAAACTGCAGGAATTTCATAAATATCGCGTCTTAGCTTCAACAGTCGGGTCCTTCACGAGAGGGCGAAGCTACAGCGGGCTAACTGAGACCAGTGTGTCGTTGTCAACGGTTTAAATACGCCGGTAACGTAGAGTGGGTCTCCGGCATGTTTGCGGCAACGCGATGTCAAGCTAAAGCTAACGTTAGCCTCTCTGGCTAAACGTCACGGTTCTACAACTTCTACATTTACGCTTGAGTCGTGGTTTCTTCCTACACTGTTCATCGACGGATCTTTACTAGTTGGTCTCATTGTGTTGTTTTGTTAAATGTTAGCATGTTAGCTGTGGTTGTGGCGATGGTAGCGCTCGCTGCTCATTTGAAACGTCGCAGGACCCACATGTGAAACCTCACCTCCGGTTTACCATGAGGAAGATTAGATATAATGAGTAAAACTTACCTCATTCTGCTAGCTGTTGATAATAACTCATCCTGAGGTGTTGTGTGGCCGCTCGATGAGTCAGTAATGTGGTAATTGATCCTGCTAAATGCTAAAACTGCTTCTAGCTAAATGGACATATATATATGTGTATATATAAGAGAATTTAGGATGGAATTTAGTTCATGTAGCCGTGATCCGTTTCTATGCTGCCACAGCATTAGAACCAGATTATATTCATATGTATATTTGTTGGTTAAATTAACTTTAAAGGTATATATGATGTTCTGGAAATGTAGTTCAGTGATACTTCAACATTCAGATGTCGTGTTTCATGTGGCATCTTGTGACTCTAGATACTCAGTGAAAGCAATCGGTATCTTGAGTCAACAATCAAAGGGACACATAATTTAATTACAAATGTTATTTTGTGGCCTATGAAATATTTGAGGAGCACAAACAGCTGACTGACAAATGGTTATTTCTCTGTCTTAGCTGTCCCTGCCAAGACTGAGGCCAAGTCAAAGGCTCTGAAGGCCAAGAAGGCTGTGCTCAAAGGCGTCCACAGCCAGAGGAAGAAGAAAATCAGGACTTCTCCCACCTTCCGTCGCCCTAAAACCCTCCGTCTCCGCAGACAGCCCAAGTATCCTCGCAAGAGCGCACCTCGCAGGAACAAGTGAGTTTTAATGATTGTATTTCGCCAACAAATGGGCAGAGGGGCTCAGCATGGTGCATATGATGGTATAAGCGATCAAAGTATGAAAAAACATGATTCAAGCTTTTTAACTCACTGATGCACCCAACGTGAATCATTTTAGGTAGCATATTGAAGACCAGAGGGTGTTGGGACTTTTTGACTTAATATTTATTTTTTCCCTGCAGGTTGGATCATTATGCCATCATTAAGTTCCCCTTGACAACAGAGTCCGCCATGAAAAAGATTGAAGACAACAACACACTTGTGTTCATCGTGGACGTCAAGGCAAACAAACACCAGATCAAACACGCTGTCAAGAAGCTGTACGACATCGACGTTGCCAAAGTCAACACACTCATCAGGTAGAAATTTAAATCCGACCTGAAGAATGGTTTTATGTTCTCTGAAACTGAGTTGCTTGACTGATGGTATTACTTTGTGCACTACTTTTGTGTATTATTCATAATTAATGCCAGAACATTGTTGTACTTGATCCTAGATTAGATGATTTGGTACAATCCAGATTCTCTGGACAGCATTTCAGTCTCACATTGTAAATATAAACTTTACATACCAGTCTGTTCATTGTTTCATCTTCTTCCCTGTATATTTTCTGATCTGTGTTCAGGCCTGATGGTGAGAAGAAGGCTTACGTCCGTCTCGCACCAGATTACGATGCGTTGGATGTTGCAAACAAGGTAAATCATCATATTGTTTTATTTGCTTTCAGAAATTCAGTCCTGTGCACATGATGTAAACTTAAATTAGATCTGAATGTTTGTGATGCATTCAAAGGAACCACTGATGCCAGACAACGCAGGTGCAGCTCTTCTCACTCTGTCTCTGAGTAGTGTGTAATTTGTGTTTTGTTCCTCCACAGATTGGCATCATCTAAACTGTAGCTGAAGAGACTTGTGGAAAAATAAATTTGTATAAACTAAACCTGGTTTAGTGTCCTGGTGTATTTGTAATTGGGAGTTTTCCATGAGTTTACAACAACTGTGACAGTGAAATTTAAAAAATCACAGCTGGGTGAGGTCTAAAATTTTGGAAATGTATAGTGTCCATCTTGCGAGTAAATGTGTACACTTGTCTCAAGAACCTCATTAACTAATGTAAATCCCAAAGTATTGAGCAAAAGCATACATTTCTAATAATACCAGTGGATTGGTCAGTGTTGGTGTATCACAGTTTTACAACGTTTCCTGGGTTCACGTGATTTGTAATATTTAAAATATTTAACAAACAGCACCAGGCCTTGAAGTGTTTGTATATATATTGATTTAAAAATGCAGAGAACCATGATTTTTTTTATCAGGTTGACTGGTGGTATGAGTAATATTTAAATTACTTCCAGTTTATTGATGACATGCAGACTGATATTTAAGTTTATCCATCAATGACAATTCTTTTCTAATGCTCTGGTAACCCATATAGAAAAGGTAGCAAGTTAAAAATGCTAAAAAGCTCATGTGTCTATATGATGTATTGAGCCATGTTTTTACTGAAACTGATTTAAAGATGTGTAAGATTTAGGTTAAATCGATTTATCAGCAGAAATTGAATATAAATAATCTTGATGTTTCCACTAGTGTGATTCATCTAAATCTTATGAAACCTTAGAAAGGGCCTTTTATATTTAGTTTGAATCCTCTAGGTAGACTGCCGTGACTGGACCAACAACACCTTTTTGAGTCTTTATGACACCTGAAGGCTTCCATAGGTTCTCTCTCATGTTTGGAAGGAGAGGGTGAGGGATTTTCAGCTGTTACATGCAACTTCACCACTAGATGTCACTAAATTCTATACAACCTTTAACCTGAGCCTTATCTTATATGTTCAGAGCATGTGATTCATGTGCCTGTTTTTTCTTTCAGTGCAAACATGGTTTAACTAGAAGAGCCTTTAACCACACAGGATTAACTGAAGTCATGCTCACTGACTGATAATAGGGCTAATGAATGAACTTTGCATTTGTGTATGTGACTGTCCCCTCACTGTAGTTGCTGCCTGTACTTGACACTAAATACATAATGACCATCTCAATGATACTTTATAATAGACAAGTAAAAAACATAAGCCTTACCATTGATTGTCTACTTCAGGGCAGCAATAGCAAAACAAATCATTTGATTATTTAGCGATTTTTTCATATGGTTTATTTATTGTGATATTTATGGACAAATGATTATGATCTCATATCAACCAGCCCTAACAACAAATACCAGATGTAATATTATATTTTATTTTTGACAAACAGTTTCTAATCATGTAGAAAGTCATTAATATCGCTTACGGTGGATTGGTAAGTCACAAGAGAAGGAAAAAAAAAAAACCTTTCCAGTTAAAAATGTATATTGTATTGCTTTACATTCAATCACATGGTTGTGACACGAGAACACAGCTAACAGCCTCCTGGTTATGAGAGGAAGGTTCGGACTGTGCCTTTAACCAGACCTCTGCAGATAGGGCACTTTCTAAGTGACGGTGCACACTCTTTGCACACCACCAGATGTCCACACGGGATGAAGACAATGTTGACCTCTTTATCCATACACACCTTGCAGGTACGCTCTTCCTGCAGGCGCCGCAGCTGCTCCTCCATGGGAAGGTCTGTAAAAGAAAGAAAAATGTCTCCATGTCAACAATCTGTATTCCTGTTGGTTCCCAAAAACAGAAATTTGGGTAAAAGCTACAAAATCTCAGCAATCCAAGTGTGGACTTAAAAAAATCAAGCGACCTGCAGTGTCGAGACCTAACAGGACATCATTGTAATGTCAACATTAAATTCGCTAATATACAATACATGTAATTGCAATTTATGAAGAATATACTGCATTAAAGTGGGATCAACACAACATCACATAATGTTTAAAGAATAGATGTGCACCCCTAAAGCTCCCATTCATGGATTTAATCACCAGGACCCTTTTTCAAAACATCTACAGGAAGATCCTTGTGCTCAAGATGTCACTGGCAGATAAATCCTTTAACGTGAGCTTTGTGTGTGAAACTACTGCAACTTACATTTAGGAATTTCACAAGACTTTAAAATAGGAGTTACAAAGTGAATAAGACAAAGTAAAACAAGCCCACAACATTCGACTTGGCAGGACATGACGTGCTCTCTGAGGCTCGGGTTTCTTCATACCTGAAAGATCTTGGCTCGGTGATGCAGCTTCATTTGACTGGGCTGAAAATGTGAAAGACAACATGAAGTTAGCTCAGGCTTTGGTTTATACTCAATCAAAACAAAGACTGATCTTTTTTATTTCAAATGCTGATAGTTAATGCCAAGACTGAGCTTCTCTTTTAAGACAGATACATTTAGTGCTGTGGATTTCAACCTGGGCTTGAGTTCACTGAGCTACAGTTGGAGCGCTGTATTATTTGATTACACTTTTCAAAATCTATGCTGATGGTTTCTGTATAAATTAATCCACAAACCCAACCTTTCGTGGTGAAATCATGTGTGTATAAAATTACCCATGAGATCTCTGAGCAGGTGGACATCGTTTTTCTGGATCCAGTTGCGGAAGACTTCGGCCGCAGCGTTGCCCTTGGTGAGGACGAGCTCGATCAGCCTGGCAGTTTGCTGCTGGGCCGTTGTCTGAGCCTGGAGGCTGCTGTACTCCTCGGCAGCTGCAGGTTATCAGGGAAGAGTTAGTCTTAATCGAGGTTTCACAAATCTTGGTGCTACAACTGCCTGATAAAGGCTTGAATAATGACTCCAAGAATGATAAACATAAATATTATGATGTTGAATCGTATATTGATAATATATCTGTATAATCTCACAATTAGAGTTTATTCAGGGGAAAAAACTGCTATACTCATTGTAGAGACTAAAATGTCCATCTACAATGATACAGAACATCATTAACATTAACTGTGCAGCTACATGTTCAATAGAAACTAGTTGAATCATTCTGTAATAAGTAGCTGCAACTTTATTTAATTTGATAAAACCCAGTTATAAAACAGATTAAATAGTTAATGACAACGATTAACCGAAAGCAAGTGGGTTTGTTACCATTTAACGGCAGCGTGCTGTAAACAAAATTCTGCGGCAGAATTAGTGTTACTTCCTGCCTCCTGTATGCTGCACCACACAACTATTCTGCTGTTGTTCTGAACACGTCTGACTGAAGAGTTGTCTGACAATCACTGAACTCAGTGTATATGTAAATCTCAGACTAAATCACAAAAAAGATGAGCTTACATAAAACATTTTGTTCTCTCAAATGCTCCAACACTGGCTCAACACTCTTTAGACGCTGGATCAATGCTGCCTGGTGTCTCTTCACAAACGTGAAACCATCTGGAACAGAGACAGACATAATAATAAGTTATTAAAAAATGTATTGTTGGTCACTTTCATAATGGTGTGAGCACAGCCCATATGCACAGCTGTCACTGGAATTTCTGTCTGCTCCATTTTCATGTACCTGATGCCATCGCCTCAGCCAGCATCTCGCGCTCCTCTTCCCTCTTCTGGTCCTCGGCACTCAGCAGGTCCAACACCAGCTCCTGGACCGTCCTGTAGTTCTCTCCACTGGTCAGGATCTTGCTCTGGACTGTTTGCTTGACTAGACTCCGCTCAAAGCCCATCTCCAATGCAGACTTAATCACTGGGGTGTTCATCATAACGGCATCCTCAGATCGCTCCTCTCCTGGACCGAGGTGGACGACTGAGAGGAAGAAAGAGGAGAGACTTCAGATTTGACTCCTCAACTTTGACATTTGAAACACAACATTTTACTCTGAGATACTTTGTATTCTATCATTTGGTTTTGATAAGGCCAATTAAGGCTCCAAATCAATAAAAGGTTTTACAGATGACTGCTAAATATGAGTTAAGGTCATCAGGTGTTGTTGCATGGTACAGCTCAGCTGATTCTTTGTATGATGCAGAGAATCTACAGACCCTCTTGCCTAAAATCTCAGATTTTATGGAACTTCATACTCACCAGGTGGATCAACAAACTCTCTGGAGCTGCTGTCTCCATTTGTTAAAAGCTTGAGGAGAAAACAGAAGACATTTTTAAGCCACGTGTTCTAGGCCAAATGTTTGAACTGAAACTATTTTCTGCTGTCGACTCACCTGCTCGAACAGCCGAGGGAAGCGAGCCTGGATCTGGTGAACAAATTCTTGCCCTTTCTCCTGGAGTAAATACTCACACCTGAAATGAACCAGAGACACAGGAATACATCCATGTGAGCCAGCCTCTTCACGTGTATTTAGACTATTCAAATATCTTCTACGTGGCGCTTAAGATTTAAAATGCTGATGCAAAACTATTTTATCAGCATCAACAAATCAACATAACTGAAAGAACAGAACCTACCGAGGAAACCATTTAGCATGCTCCACCCAAGGATCATCTCCAGACTCCCAGCACCGAAGGCCTCCATCACAGCAGAAACACTTGACGTCATCGTTACGACCTTGCGGACAAACAAAGAGCTTTAAGTGTGACAAATGGTTTTTTAGGGGGTTTCAAGGACTAAAAAAAATAAACAGAACCATCATTCAACGAAAACATGACTTTTTGAACAAAAATTGTATACATTGTTTCCTAGCTTTCTTTTTGTAGTAGAGTTACCACATTTGGACCCAATATTTAAAGATCATGAGACTAGTAACCAGGTGTCACTACCAAAATTACTGCGAAATACCTGTCTACAGTGGAATCCCCCCACTGAGGGAAGAAGTCTAACTGGTATCAAAACAGAGGAAATTACCTAATTTCAACATTTGATTTGCACATTATGAGTAAATTAGGCGTAAGATGTTAATGACCTTTAAATGGCAGGTTTCAGATTTAAATTTTAGAGTTTGTGCACAAATGTTTTATCTGGAGTTTCCTAAATAAAGCACTTCATAACTGTTTTTGAAAAATGCTACATTATTAGAATTCCTTTTTATTTTTCATTCACTTTCGGAGAATATACACACGATGACATTATAAAGTTGATATTGGAGTCACGCATATAACCACCTGATTAAATTGAAGTCCAATATTCGGATTCCTTATGAGGTCGATAAATAACTGTGTCTCTTTGACAAAGTCCTTACCTACATAGTAGAAGCCAGCTTTAGCCAGCTGGTCGGGCCGGACAGGTATACGAGACGGCCAGTTGACAAAGGTGAGCCGCCTCTCTTCACTCTGCTGCATTGCTGGATTGGAGACATTACTGAGAGTTGGGCCTCCTGCAGACAGCTGGGAAGTCACTGCTCCAGAAGCAGCTCCTGCTGCTCCGGGCAGCGACACATTGTCAGCTCTGTCTCCTCGGACGAAACGACAGTTTGGATAATGTCTCTGGTGTTCGGACACAGCTCTGTCACCTGGCTCCCAGTTACTCAACTGCAAATACAAAACAAAGACTTCTGTCACATCCACTGTTCCACTCTGATGTTAGTAATGCTTATGATAGAATTTAGTAACACAATATAGAGGAGGGGCAGGATTGGAAGCTAATCGAACCCATTTAAGTGAGAGTTCGTATTTGAATATGACTGATGACACACACATGCACCTGTCCTCCGCAGCTGAAGCACGCCACTCTGTCCCCCTGGCCTAAATAGTAGAAGCCCGCCTTGGCAAGCTCTGTGGGGGTGATGATGGAGAGCGTCCATGAGTGGAAGGAGTCCAGGCGGTCCTGCTCTCTGCGCATGCCTGGGTTGTGGCATGTTGGTCTCTGGTGGGACATGTCCTCTACACCACGAGAGCTCAGTGGGCTGGAGGGCGGCGGAGCAGAGAAACCCATATTAAGGTATCCCCCTGGTTCTTCACCTTGGTTTACTGTTGGGTTAGGGGCAGCTGGACCTGCACCAGAAAGCTAGAATGAAGAAAATTAAAGTCAAAATATATTCAGCTAGCTAAATGCTACTTGTTAGCGCAACTAATTAATCAAATAATTTTACACCAGACCACTCTTGTGTGTTGCTTTATTTGAAATTTGCTTCTGAATTCATTGTCTAGAAGGGTTCGTTTTTCAGCGATGATTTTTTCTCGATAAAGGAAATATTGGAATCCCTTATTCTGCAATAACCTACAAGTAAACTTACTGGTATGGCTGGGGCAATCCGGAGTGGGGAAAAGGCTGAGTGAGACGAGGAGAGTAGATTGGCTGTGGAAGGGAGGCTCTGGATGAAGGAGCAGGAAGGAGAGAGCTGCCTATGTCTCTCTGTCGGACAGTCTCCAGCTTGCCATCCATCTGCCGTTACGTTGCACCTGAAACACTGAACGCGGTCGCCCACCCCTGTGTAGAACCAACCCGCTCTCGCCAGACTTCGCTCTGTGACCCCTGAGGTCGGGAAACGAGCAAAGGTAGAAATGCGGAAAAGCTCTGTGGAGGAAAACGACATTATATTAGTATGGTTTTTTTTTCAGAATCAGAATCAGAAATTCAAACGTTACAGAGCCCCTGAGAAAGAGGTGAAAGAGCAAAAGCACGTATAAACATAGTAATATAAAAATCAAGTAAGACTAAAATGAAATAAAAGATATACATATGTAGAAATAAAAACCTGGTATGTATGGATTGACATGTTTTCTTAAGATTGTCAGATTAATACAACAATAAATTATAAATATATGTATCTGGTGAAATGAAAGAATAATAAAGATTGGTACCTGAGGAGTTATCATACTGTAGATCAGATGGAGGCCCGTTACGACACAATCCCATCAAAAACTGGTTGTTTTTGAGTTGAACAAGAGTTTCCATTTTTAGATTGAAGTATAGAGATATAAGGAAAAAGTGGTGTCCTTCGAAAGGGAGAGAGGTTTGAGAAATACCAAGGTCTTGCCCTCACACACATACTCAGTCACACCAAAACAGAAAACAGTATGTGGGAGGTACAACTAAGATGAAAACAGTAAAACAGAAAGTGTATGCAAGTGTGAAACTTAAGAGCTCCTTGACAGAAGCAAATTATAACTACCAGTGCAGCAACCACCATCATCACACAGCATATTTATGTCCTTCAAACATCCTGTTAAGGGATCTGGAACTTGGCCCTACGTTAACTGCAACCCTTGGAGAATACCACCACTCAACATTTAACTGGTCAAACATCATTTATTTTTCAATTACAGGCCCATTGATGTATGTCGAAGTAGTAAGAAAGGTCTAACTATCTTAAAAAGCGTCTTCACACTCAGATCACCCAGGATCCATGTACACTTTATTATTCTGTACATTTATTAGAGACAAGTCTGTGATTTTATGTACAAACATTATAAAGTTAATGATAAAGTAAATTAATGTCTCAAACACTCACATACACACACAGACCAAGGGATACGTGATCTCAAACCCCTCCCCCATCTTGGACACCCCTTTTGTAGGTGTTTAAGCCTCCATTATTGAATATTAAAAGCCTAATAAGAAAAACTATATCCTCCTTTGATAGAGATAATGGGATCTGCTCTTAAGTTTTCTTGTTTGCAGCACCTGTAGAAATGAAAAAAAAAAAAAAGATTTTAAAATTAGATCTGCAAAACATATATCAAAACAATCATCAATGTATGAACGATGTAAGTGCTTTTTTATTTTATTCTAAACTCCAATGCAACATATGTTAAATAAATATGAGCTCATTGGAACAAATATTGGGGAGGAAAATCATATGTATATGAATCGTGAGTAGTGATTCATCAAACAGTAATTTCCCACAGAAGTACATCCACCAATTATAATTATTTCGATGAATCATCCATTTAATCATCTACGTAGTTCTGTATGACCCAACAGTCCCAAAAGTTTGAAATATTGAAAACAGAAGCAGCAAATCCTAACATTTGAGAAGCTGAAAATATTTGACGAAATCACTTGAAAATGACTTGAATGATTTACCAGTTAAATTATTACTCCAGAGATTTAGACAGACACTACCATAAAGATGGGAAAGTTACAGGGGGCAGAATTTAAAAGGAGTGGTCAAAACGGAACTAAGAGAGGGCGAGATAACCTGATAGATACTGATAGTATGAGTCAAAATACAAAACAATTCAAGATACTACAATTCCCACAATGTGTGCACACTGTCTGAGTGGAAATAACCCTGATGACCTAATCCGGGTTATTTTCTAAACCTTAGAGGTCTCCTTACAGGAACTCTCAGAGAGAAATCCAAAGCAACAATTAAATGACAGATTAATCATTTCAGTTATTTTTCAAGCAAAAATACCAAAGACTCAAGTACTGGCTTTGAAAATGAGAATAATTGTTCATTTTTCTAATCTATGATAGTAAAACTCACATTTTGTTTCCTGCTAGGTAGACTAAATTAGACATTGCATTAAGTTAAAATGGGCTTCAGGGACTAATCATGGGCACTTTTCCCATTTTTAAAACTGTACAACTGATGGATTAATAAAGGAAATTGAAATGTATTGATAATGGAAATTGTTGTTTGAAGCCTTGAAGTCCTATGATGGACTAAAATACGTTTTTCTTACACTTGATACATTAATTACATCACATAAATAAGTTGAATATATGATAAATAATGTGAATCAAAACAATGAAAGCCCCTCTCTAAAGAAGGAGGGCCTGGGCAGAGCTGATGTTCCACTTCAGGTTTTACAGATTTATAACAAAACCCAAGTTAATCCAAGTCTGTAGACACATGTGGAGCAAAGCTGGCAGTCCAACCTGGACATTTGCTGGAATTCCCCCTTAAACAAAAAGTGCCAAACAATGTCTCCATCGATCTTTCAGTCGATCATTTCAGAATTACAGCAGCTCAAATCGACAGGGTCTGTCGTAAATTACAGATGTTTCCGCCAGTGGTAGATTGGTACTTTCCTCTGGGGTATTCACCTAACTCTTCCTGTTTCTGCTCTGATTACATTTAGGTGGGATTTAGCTTTAGCAGCTAACGTTAACCGTGTCGTAGATCTATTTCACTTTAAACACGAGGTCCGGCACTGAGTCAAATACTCATATATCGTGTAATGTGACATCTGAGCCCGTATAAACCAGTTTTGATTATTCTAGCTGACGTTAGCATCAGCTTAGCGTTAGCAGACGCTAGCAAAACAGAGGCGGAGAAAAGGCTGCTAACGCCTAAAACAGCGAAACGAAACTTTGCTAATGCTGAGCTGCGCGTCAACACGGGGGAAACGAAACCGACCAACAGCCAGGTTCAACACAGTGTCATGTAATGTCTCTTCACCTCTGAGAAGCGCCTCACTCACCGTTTCCTGGTCAAGACGCTGCGGAAAGTCCCGGTGACAGGCGAGGCTCCGCGGCACAGACAGCGAGGGGCAGCACCAGCTACTTCCGGTTGTGAAGAGGGGAAACAGATAATTCACCTGGTTAGAGATCCTTCAGCTAAAGACCCACACAGACTTTATATGAGTCAGCGTTTTAATATGACTTCTTCCGGACAGCTGAGCTATAAAAAGTCTTTACTGCAGTCAGTCAAAAGTTCTGGAAAAACAACAACATACTGTCAGAGAATGAAGATCATCAGCGACCCTGCCCCTGTTGTCACTTTTAATAGATATATGTGTGAGAGCACATCTCCAATGAACATACAATGTAAAGACACATTTCTGATTCATTATAACATAGATCTATCTCTGATGACTACATATACACAACACATGATCCTGTCTCAACCAATTCAACAACAATATTGTGTTACAACTTCAAAATAACAGTACAGGGAATAAACGAGGAGAGGACACTTACTTGTGGAGGCCTTGTTGAAGACAAGTCAGAAGGTTACAGAAACCAAGAGCTGTCATTTAAACAGATTAGTTTGGTATTTCCACTCACTTCCTCTGCAAACTCCGCCTATACTTTGTGGTACAACCTCCAGCTTACCTCACTTTTAAATCATGTTTATTTTCAAAAAGTGGTTACCATGGTTATCTCCTTGACTCTTTTCATGTGAAGTAGCTGCATTTAATTCCCTCAAGGCTAATAATAAGAATGATAATAATAAGCTTTATTTTATATAACACCTTTCAAACACAGTTACAAGAATTACAAAAATGAAAAATTTAAGGCAAGCAATAGGAAACAGTTAAACAATCATTAAAAACCTATAATTAGTGTTAAGACTGCTCTAAAGTATTAACATATGGGTCAAAAATTCCTTAGAGTGTAAACAGTAAGACATATTTATTAAGTGACTCAATCCTACTTCAAATATAAAAGTTATTTATTACATTTGCTTGAGGACTAGCCAATCAATCACAGATATTTTTTGACCCTACATTGACTATATTTTACTCATATGGTTAAAATGTACTTTAAAATGTGTTTTAACCGTAGACTGTATATAAAAATGTTTTAAATTCTTTAAATTTGTAATTGTACCCAATGTACTTTCTGTTTTTAGGTCAGTGAAGCACTTTTGTAGATGTGTTTTTTGAAAAGTGCTATATGGAGTTTATTCCATTATTATTCCATTATTATTTTAATAATAATAATAATAATTTACTTTATTTACATAAACTGGCAACCCTGCACTCAAACAAACTGATGTATGGAGAGGGTTGTTGTGAAAAGTGCACTTTATAAAATAATGGATCATTATTGAAGTATTCTAAAGAAGATCTAAAGACACATATTCATATAACTGCTTTGAAATAAAGTTAAACTTTTGGTATGGTTTTATATAACACTTAAACATGAATAGCAATGACTACAGGTCAAGTGTATTTGAAAGTTTATTAAACAGAAACGTCTTTAAAATGATTACAGTGAGAGTATTTTATATAAAGCACATGCATAAAAAGGTACAAAACAAGTGTGATTGCCTCCAAACTCTCTGTAAATAAGATAATAAACATTATATGGACCATACATAGCGTCATAGTGTCATGCATGCTAAGATAAATAATAGGCTAGGTAGTGTGTTGCATTATGTGTATGAGCCCATGGAACTTTAATTTAGAAAAAAATTACAAAAAAGATGACATGGCTCTTTGTTTGGGGAGGCTATGAATTCATTCTTTACCTCTATATACTGTGTGTATATATATATAAAAAGGAAGCTGGTTAGAAGAAATGATCTCACCAGTAATAAAACAGCTTCAAATTCAGATAAAATATAAACACACTGCAGAAAAAAACAGATTATGGTCTGTATTTATGTAGACCATGTACTTATTAATATTATATAGTTTAAAAGTGGAGAATTACAGAGCTCTCCCATATTGATAGTTGCCCTCTGTATTACAGATAGCACTTGTTGTTAGAGCAAAATATAACAAGAACACAGCATTCACAATTAGTACTTTGTGTTTCTGAGGAGGCAGAGCAGGGCCCTTGACTCATGGGGCCCTGACGCCCTTTTTTAAGGCACAATATTTTTTGTCTCTCCCACTAAAAACAACGCTCAGCAATGGAGGAAACTTGAGCCAAGACAGATTCTTTAAGAGCAGGATGATGATGATGTTTGGTATATGAGCAGGATGATGATGATTGGTATATGTGGCATCTATGGTGAGTTATCATGAATATTAATATTGAATATACACAAGGAAACCAAGAAGATAGCTGAAAACCTATGTTTAGTGGAGAAAAGATGTGTGGCATGTCTTAATTTTGATGGACCTTGAGATGAATATGCATCTCGCTGTCTCCTCAGAGTAAGAAACAAATTATTAAGACAGTGATCATAAAAACTGCACTTTTTATATCAGAGTTACATTATCATTGTTTGGTAATGCAATTAAGACTCTTCAAATCAATCTGCACCCAAATTGCTTCACTACATTAGAGTGTACAGCCCAAAAAATAATGCAGACTTGATGCTCACTATTAATGATTACTTCACTTAAGCAAATTTCAAGGGTCTGTTAATTCATTTAGGAAATTATGGGAAACAAAGATCCCTAAACTTTGGAAAAAAATGCATTTGAATATCTAAATCTTTACTCCACTCAGCCCCAAAACAATCAGCAATGCTATCAAGTGCCGATGATTTGTAAGTTACAAAGCTAAAACGAAAACTTTGAATGGTTTTATGTCATTCTCTGGGAGACAGGAAGTCTGACTGTATCAAATCATTGGTGGAAAAAGTGGGAAAAGGGAATAAAATGAAAACCAAGCATCCAGGCCATTATGAAAATGATATGGCGCCATTTCTAAAACATGGGGTGGACATAATAATATTACAACTGTACAATATAATGCAACCCGATAAAACAATTCTCCAATAAATACTACCTTTGTGAAGCTTATATTCAATGATTGAGTGGGCAAAACAACCAGAACACTGAGCAGTAAAATGCAAACCAATACAAACACCTTAAATCCAGCATTAACAAAATCTGGATATTAGTAACTTCAAGGACGGGGATTGTTTTGGTGCAGATGCAGGCGATTATTCTAAAGAACAAACAAACACTTGAATATAAGAAAACTAACCAGAGGGTAAAAATAGCTATTTCACACAGCATACACTATATATTGTTTCTAATGAGTGTGGCTACTGTTGAAGTTGTCTACAAACTAAATTGATCACAAGACCAGATGTGTTGGGATTACAGTTCCCTAGGGGAAACCCTGTATTGTGTTGGGTTACTTTATACTGACCATGTGTTCAGTGACAGGAGACGTCAACAATACATTCCAGTGGTACCGTCTACCACGAGACACAAGAGATACAGACACACTCATTTTAGTTTCAATGTGGAGTTCCTCAACACAGCCTTTACTTCTCTAAGTGCTTTGATTAGTTAGGAATGAGGCTTTTACTGTGACAAAAGACAAAGCTTATTCTCCTGAACTTTATTTTGAAAGAGATATTAGTGGAAGATATTACAATCATGGTTGTGAGCAGCCCCCAAATACTTCAACACTGTCTTATAAATGACTCGACTTAAGAATGTTAAGTCATTTATTTAATACCTTTTTTGGATTGTGAGCACAAGGGTGCGTCCTCTCCCTCCCCATGTTTCTGTGTCATAATAGTGCGTCTCTTTGAGCAGATCTTTATGGTTTTGTGGAACCAATGTAGTGTTAAATAGTGTCGATTCTTTGATTCGTCTCTTGCTCTGCTTTTTTCTGACGACTGTGAGCATGTGCATTGAAATCATTGATCGCAGGCTGTGTAGAGGTAGTAGCACTACTGCAGATGCTGGGTTTTTGTCCCACAGGCTTCTATGTAATAAGAGTTAAATGTAGCGCTATTTTTCGGTTACACTTAAATAAATATCTTTTACATGTCTTCTTTGCATTTCTGTAACTTTTGCATGCAGAGTTTTTTTTTAAACTTGACATTGTTTGTAAAACTTTGCTGGAAAAACTATTACCCATGTGGGGATAATAAAACCTCTGCTTCCTAAAATTAGCTACTTCACGAGAGATGTGAGGAGCTTCAACTGAGGCCAATAACTAAAAATAAAGGAGTGTCGTGAAAATTCTGATGCTCCGTCATGCACTTCAGTAAAACCAGGCCCAGAAAAAGAGGAAAACACTGCAGCTTACCACCTTCTGTGAGAGTCAGGTTTTTATATTCCTCTGGGTGAGTAGGGTTAGGTTTCCATCACACAACTGTAGCGTTTTCTCTCAGTAATCTTGTTCTGTACCATTTCTGAAGCAAAAAAAAGATCCTCCAAAGTTCTCAGTCATGTTGTGAACATCTGACGTCAGACCACACGGCGGCGGCGGCTGGGTGTGTCTATAGCCAGGTGAGCAGGCTGTCCCTGTCCATGTGCGATCCAGAAAGAACGGTCTCCATGTCCATCAGAAGGTCTGAACTGAGACCCTCGGGGATACAGGGCATAAGCTCCTCGCCCTCAGACATCGGGAGCACAGGCATCGACTCCTGTAGGGACATCGAGGAGTTCTCGCCAGAGTCACCTACACGAGTCAGAGAAGAAGATAAAATGTTGGAACTGTGTTGAGAATTAAAAAAATCAAGTCTGTCAAGCTGTTTGGTCCCAAAGCATGGACATTGTCTTTAATATAGCTGCACATGGATCAGGTGCAGCTAGTGTTTATAGACTTTATAAACAATTCATGTTTTGTCTTGTCTTCAATATGAAAAAAAAATCAATACAAAGAAAAAAAAGATTTGAGCTGCTTAAAGCAAAAATGTAGATTTATAAATAGATACATATAGAAACTGGATGTAATTCACTAAAGCTGCTGCCAGGTCAAGTCTTTTTCTGTGTGCTCCTCATGTTCTTTATATTTGTGCACTAATCTTTGCACTCTGCATCATTGCATTTCTCAATTTCACTGTCATTGTTGTGTTTTTATGTCCATACTTTGTATACATATTAATATTCATATTTGTACACAGTCGGTAAATGTTTATGCTCAACCT